ATAGCAAACAATACTGGTAACTATGAGAGTAAATTTAAATGAAGACTAATGAAATACGTAATGTATAATGTTAAAAAGACAGAAAATAACATTACCAAAATAAGAGGAAAAATAATAGAATAAAGCGGGGATCAACTTCAAAGATGGCAAAAAGAAAGGAAGGCTAGGGAGATGATTTTCACTGTAGCAATATTTATAACAAAAAATTAGAAACCTAAATGTTCCTCCACATCACAATTAAAGAGAATTATGCATTAAGAACAACAAAGACACTGAGCTTTTAATCACTCCCCGCCTTCTCTCTTTCTGACACATACCTCTCCCCACTCCCTCCTCCCCCCTCTCCCCTCTTCCCTCTCCCTCTCCCTCTCCCTCTCCCTCTCCCTGTCCCTGCCCCTGTCCCTCTCCCTCTCCCTCTCCCTCTCCCTCTCCCTCTCTCTCACTAGGGCCTTGACCTCAGAGAACTCTTATATCCTCCTTAGTGGGAGAAGCAAATCTTTACACAACTGAGATACGTATGTTTTAAAGGTAACAAACAGAATGCTATAGAAACACAAGATGAGTACACAAAAGCAGGAAACGCTTAAGAGGTGACTTCTGAGCTGGGCTTTGAGGAAATGTTACCTCAACTGATAGCGAATTACGAAGATGCAGTGTAGACAGAGGAACTAAATAAGCAAGGACTATTTATAGTATACTGGAATAGCAAGTAGTCTCATGGGGATAGATCATGAAGTAGTGAAGAAAAAAAGCTGCAAAGACAGGCAGAGGCCAAACTGGGGAGGGTCTTGAAAAACGTACTAACAAGTCAGGCTTTTATTCAGTATGTCATATTACCAAAGGTTACTAGTTACAAAAACTGAAGTAAAAATGAGGCTCAGAGAGTCTACCTTTAACAAGTTACACATCTATCTGGGTCTAGGAATATACCTGAATCCAATCCTTCATGCTGACTTCTCAATTTATATAATAGTTCAGTTTGATAAGAAATCAGGGAACACCTGAACTAAAGCCAATGTTATGGTAGAAACTACAAGAAATGGCCAGAATCAAAAAGCGACTTGTAGGTATTTGTAGGTGCTAGTAGATACTGTTTTTTCTAGAGTCTAACCTGTGACTTTGACAGGCTTTGTAGACCAAGATCAAGTAATACCACCTATCTCATTTTTCTGGTTAAAAAATAAGGAAGTTCATCATGATAATATCTAAATTCCTTTCAAATTTGACATTCAAATAACTTAGGCATTGCAAAGGGCAGGTACTCAAGATGACCCAGATTTCTAGCTGAGAATCCTAGATAGATCCTTGGAGAAGAGAGAGGAATAAAGTCCGATTTTGGACACACTGAATTTGAGATACCTCCAGATCTAATTTAGTTGCAAATGTAGGTCTGGACTTTAGGAGAAAGATCTAGAAGTCATCAGATTATAGATGACATATGAAGCCATGGGAATGAACGAGATTATTCAAGAAAACACTACATCAACAAAAAAGACAAAATAGTGAACACTAAAGTTTAATTGGCGAGGGGCAAAAGAAAAAGATGAAGAGTCCACGCAGGTAAACAAATAGTTAAGCATAGTGTTACAAAAATCAAGGAAAAGACGAATTCCCAGAGCTAATCATATCATATAATGAAGTTTTAGGGTGAATAATACAGAAAATTAGCCAGTGGATTTAGACATAAGGGGGACAGTGATTATCAAGTGCTCAAATCCCACATCTTCACCAAAACTATCTCCATTTGCATGGTACCAGTAACGGTAACATTCCTTTGGCAAATGAATTCAGATACTGTTTAAAATAATATATTGCTCTATCATTCACACGGTCATAAGTCAAATACAGGGAATCACCATCATGTTCCTGGCTTAAAATCTGACTGCTTTGCTCTCAGAACTGAAGTCCAAACAACTTAGCATGATATTCACACTTCTATTCTGGATCACTCTGCTTTTCCACCCTGCTCTCACACATTCCTTACCCATAGAGAATATGCCTACTGCTCCAAACTCCCTGCAGAATATACATTGTCCTTTGACGTATGTTACCCTTCTAAAACCTGTTTTTTTTTTTTTTTTCAAAGCACACTTCGAAGGCAAACATTACCATAAAACTTTCCCACATCTATTAGGTTGGGGGTGGTCCCCAAACCCCAGGCCACAGACCAGTACAGGTCCATGGCCTCAAGCAGGAGGAGAGTGGAGGCTGAGAAGTATTACTGCCTGAACTTCGTCTCCTATCAGATCAACCCAGGCATTAGATTCTCATGGGAGCTTGAACCCCTATTGTGAACTGTGCAAATGAGGGGATCTAGGTTGTATGCTCCTTATGAGAATCTAATGCCCAATGATCTGAGGTGGAACAGTTTCATCCCAAAACCATCTCCCATGCCCCGACCCAAGGCTGCAGAAAAACTGTCTTCCATAAAACCAGTCCCTAGTGCCAAAAAGTTAGGGTTATTACTAGGTAATAATTAATCATCTTCTCTCTGACTGTGCATGTTGCCATTTTTACATTTCTTTCTATTTTGTATTATAATTAACTGTTTGCCTCCTTACTTATTAAAACTTAAACTCCTTCATGCCAGGAACAATCTGGGTGACAAAGTGAGACCCTGTTTCAAAATAAAAAAATAAAATAAAGCGTGACAGGGTCCATCCTGTGAGGTGAGATGTAACATATGAACTCTTACCTTTGGCAGAGCACAGAAATGGCAGTCGTAAAAGAATGTAAGAGAAAAAAACCCCCGAATTTTAAAATAAATTCTTAAAGACCGAATGTGAGTTAGCATGACAGCTTAGAATCCCTACCCTTCCAAGAAGAAGAGTCTGCATCCACTAGCTAGGTCTTTTTCTACTGGCCTCCACCTTGTGCTCCAGAGAAAGACTGCAGGCAACAGAGAGAGCCACCTTACTTTCTCCCACCCTCAAATGTGGCACAAGCAGGAAGATGAAGTTGTAGCAGTAATGCTGAGACAAAAAATCATCTGTTACTCCAGGCCTCACTTGAAACACAAAGTATTGGCAGTCCATCTTCGTAGGAGTCTGCTGACTGTGGTGTACTGAAAGTAACTACTGCAACCACAAACACCCAAAACCCTTCTCAATTACTAACTAGACTGACCAATACCTGTTCACACTAACAGCTTGACAGAAGTAGCAGCATGCCTATTTCTGGGTAGAAATACTACTTATCTCACTCCCTGCTATTCTTTTACAATACCTGATATTCAATCCAACATTATAAAAGACATACAAAAACAAGAGATTAAAACAGTCAACAAAACCAGACCTGGAGATGGACCAGATATTGAGTTTCAATAACTGTAATTAATAACTATAATTAATATGTTTATGGATCTAGTGGGGAATTTTAGCAGAGACAAAAAATTTTAAAAGGAAAATAAAAACAATAGAAATGAAAAATATGAAGGAGTCCTTCACTGGGGCTTATCAGCAGAATGAACACAATAAAGAAAAAGGGTGAACCTATAGAAAGATCAATAAAAATTATCCAAACTCAAAGAGAGTGGGAGAATAGCAAATGGTCTAATATATTTTTACTTGGAGTCCTAGAAGTAGGAGTGAGGCAGAAGAAATACCTGAAGAGATAATGAATAAAAATTTCCTAAATTCAATGAAGGACAATCAACCACAAATTTAAGAACCACTGAGAAACCAAAGTAAGATAAAAATAAAGAAAAACACAACTAGGCCCATTATAGTCAATCTGCTGAAAAGCAGTGATAAAAAGATAAAGAAAAAATACTGAAGATAGTGAGTAAAAAAATAAACATTACATACAGAGGAACAAAGACAAGAATGACAGCAGACTCCTCACCAGAAACCATGGGAGCCAGAAAACAAATAAATCATCTTTAAAATATATAGAAGAAAACAAATGTCAGCCTAGAGTTCTAAACTCACACCCCACAAAAAAGTTAAAAACAATTATTGTCAGCCAAACTGAATAATGAGAAATTTTAAATCTTTTGTCTCCAGGCAAAAGAAATTGATCCAACAGGGCATCAGGTGTCAGGCAACTTTTTCTGTAAAGAGTCAGTTAAGTGAAATGGTGTAATATTATTCAAAGGTGGACCAATGTAAAAGATGTATAATGAAAACCGTATAGCAACCACTAAAGTAAATAAATAATAAGCCAATGGTAGAGATAAAATTGAAACATTTAAAAAAAAAAAAAAAAAAAAGCAAACAACAAGAAAAATACCTTGGCCAGGCACAGTGGTTCACACTTTTAATCCCAACACTTTGGGAGGTCGAGGTGGATGGATTACTTGAGGTCAGGAGTTCCAAGACCAGCCTGGGCAACATGGCAAAACCCCATCTCTACTAAAAATACAAAAATTAGCTGGGCGTGGTGGCATGCACCTGTAGTCCCAGCTATTGTGGGTACTCAGGCACGACACTCATTGAAACTCAGGAGATGGAGGTTGCGGTAAGCTGAGATTGCACCACTGCACTCCAGACTGGGCAACACAGCAAGACTGTCAAAAACAAACAAACAAACAAAACCCACCAAAAAAACAAAAACAAAACCAAAAAACACCTCAACCCAAAAAAGGCAGGAAAAGTACGAAAGAAAAATAAATAGCAAGATGATAGATTTAAGTCCAACCATATCAATTTCATTAATTTAAATGGTCAATACTTTGATTTTAAGGCAGAGATTATCATATTGAATAAAGAATCAAATACTGATAGTTATAGGAACATTATAGAAACTAGAAACAAAGAATTGAAATAATTAAAAGACTAATCTAGGTACCTATATTAGATGAAACATAATTCTGCTAAATTTATATCAATATTTAAGAAATTTTAAAACATCTCAAATGAAAACAAGTGAATATAATTAAGTTCAGCTGAAGTAATCTGACTTGACTACTTTTTGTCTCCCCAATTTCCAGATATTTTAAGGGCTTCATGTTAACTAATTCCCCCACCTCACCAAATATAGTAATGTTCATAAACACTGACCTTGCCATGGCTTCTTTCCACTTTCTGAAAACATTTATTCAGGGACAGATTATGTCGCACAGAATTCTTCCAGCCTGTTGGTGCAGTAGCAAAATATGGAAAATGGTCCAGAATCCAGCTATAAATTTCTTTGACAGGCAAACATTTATTTGGAGAGTGCTCAATAGCCATATAAATGAGAAGACTAAAGGAGTATGGGGGTTTTGAAGTTGCTGATTTTTTTTCTTGGTTCTGGTAGCAAGGTGGTCCAAAGGATGGCACATCATCTCCCTCTATGTCATACAATGGACTAACAATTGGAAGACCCTCAGTTCCAAGGCTGAAGTTTGTTAGAAGATTAGTATTTTCATGAAGCCAGTTCAAGTTTGTGAGTTCATCATCTGCTGACTCACTGTCCACTAGAGTGGCCTTTGGCCTGGCAGCATCAACAGCTTCAGGCAAGCTTCCCATTTTGTAAATCTGGCTTAATCCTGCAATCTTTTCAGCTCCTGGAGTTTCAGCTCTCTTATCTGGAGTCATTCCAATTACTGGACCCATTTACTCTTATAGTTCTGTAACAAAGGAAACAATTATCACTATAATATTTAAGAGTCTTAAACTCTGGGAAAAAGATAATACACCTTTAAATATCCCCCAAACCAGAGATATTTTACAATCAATTAGCTCACGTAATATTTAAGCATAACATTTGTATAATAAAGATAATAATGGTTATAATACAAGGAAAATATATTAGTTGAAATGGCTGTAAATAAAATGCAGCTTTATAGGACCAGGTGTATGGGTGGTATTAACACAATTAAATAATGTATTTTAAATACTTAGTAAAGTACCTAGCCCATACTAACCACCTAAAAGGTAGTGGCTATTATTATTTAAAATGAATGGACTATTTCTTTGAATTATAAGACCTTTTAATACATGCATGTTAAGGATCTATGATTTTACTATAATAGTCATACAAACAGTTCAATCCTGAAAATAATAAATTTGAAATATTTAAGCAATATTTTAAAATAAACTCAAATCTCAAATGTTTACTATAAAAAGAAACTATACTATTTTTACAGCATATCATACCAAAAAGATAACATTTTTATTTCATTATTTATTTTTAATTGACAAATCATGATTATATATATTTATGGGGTACAATGCATTATTATGATACATGTATATACTGTGAAACAATTAGATCAGGCTAATTAATATATCCATCACCTCACATATCTATTTCTGTTTGTGATGAGAACTTTTAAAATGTACTTTTAGGAATTTTGAAATATACATTATTATTAACTATAGTCACCATGCTATGCAATAGATCACTATAACTTATTCCTCTTGTGTAACCAAAGCTTTGTACCTTTGACTAACATCTCCCACTTCCCTACACCCTCCTCTTATCCTCACCACAAGCATCTGGTTACCAACCATTCTACTCTCTCCTTCTATGAGTCTAACAAGATAACATTTCTTATTCACTAAATTTATTATTAGCTAAATTAAATTCACTATAAGTTTATTATTTCTTTTTAAAATTCCAGTACTTTCAAATTCTGCATCGTCTATCATCTCAAGTACTGACATTTCAAGGCAGACATTCTCTTAGTAAGGTCTGAACCGTCCCTGTACTTTCAAGTAGAGTGGAAAATAGCTGTTACTATTCTTTTTTCATTTCTATTTTCTTGAATGATTTTTGTTTTGCATTTTAAACACCCTTCCATTCAAAAACTATCACGAGAGAATAACAGGCCACAGAGGAAAGCAATAGGCTAATGTGCTATTTAATAAATTTTCCATGGCTCATAAAAATAACTCATTTCTAAATTCAGTGAAAAACCAGCTATTATCCTATTCAATCCATTTATGCTTGTGTAACTGAAATAATTGGGTGGTACCTCCAGAGTTTTATTTTGCTTAGAACATAGTTGGCAGGTTACTTCAAGAATTCTGAAAACCGGTAAATTAATTTTTATTTTTTTATGTCAGTATGTAAAAGCGAAAACTGATTAAGTTTAGATATAGAACAGTTTATCTGGGTTCTGGAAGCTACCACCAGAAGTAGTTACCCTCAGAGCACTCCATTAGCAATAGCATTAGATAATACTTTGGGGCTCAGGTACTGTGCTACACAATTTACATATACTATCTCAATTAAATGTCAATTAAACCCTATAAAGTAGGCACTATTATTAACTCAACTTTAGTGATGAGGAAAATGAATCAGAGGTTAGGCATAAGTGGAACTGCTAGAATTTAAATCCAGGTAGACTAACTCCAGAAACAAAACTCCAACCACAGTATGTGCTGGCAACAGTATGTACACAACACCTATGAGTACCAATGACTCAAATCCTATGCATTTTAAATCTTAACAGCATTCTTTCCATATCCAGTTCTTATGTCCCTGTGTACCCATAACTAGAAACATCAAGACACTGTAAAAAGGAAAAGATAAATGATAACAGATTTGGTTTCTATTTCAATCTCTTATGAAAACCACACATACATAAACATTCACATATATGAACACACAATATATAAAAGAATTAATATCCTGTACTATGTAAGTGACCAAATTATTCATTTTATCACCAAAGTATCTGTATTCATAGAGACTTTAAAAACATAATGAATCAGAATTGGTTGAATGAAGTCTTGCTTCCTAAACAAATGCTCTTTAGTGTATCCAGTGTCCAATTAAAGAACGGAGTGATTAATTTCCAATGTTTCACTTTTGCTTTGTCGCTTAAATCTCCATTTATCTTCCATTACACCTAGAAATTAAAAAGTACTAAATAGCAGTGGCTAACATTTGCTGAGATTTTACTACATTACAGATTCTGTTACAGGCTTTAAAATGCACTATCTCTACTCTGAACTACTATTAGTTCAACGTATGTCCTTTCTTTTCGACTATGAATTCCATGAGGAGTAAGAGTCTTTTTTTTCTTTTTTCTTTTTTTTTTTTTTTTAAGAGATAGGGTCTCACTGTGTCACACAGACTGGAGTACAGTGGCGATATCATGGCTCATTATAACCTCCACCTCCTGGGTTCCAGTGATCCTCTTGCCCCAGTAGCTGGGACCACAGGGGCACACTACCATGCCCAGCTAATTTTCAAATTTTTTATAGAGACAGAGTCTTGCTATGTTGCCCAGGCTAGTCTCAAACAATTGGCCTCAAGCAATCCTCCTGCCTCAGCTTCCCAAAGTGTTGGGATCACAGGCATGAGCGGCCGGGCCCAGCTGGGTCTTTTACTTTCGTTTTCCTAATTAATCTTACTAAACTGTTCAGTATGAGTAGACATTCAAATCATAATTATTTCAGATAGAAATGAACTCATAATACAAATTATATGTCTATTCTGTAAAATGCTGTACCAACGGCCTTTAAGAGTTAATTTATTTCGGAAATGAATCCTTAATGGTAGGAAACATCCTAAATGGTAACAATAAAAAAACTGAAATTCATTGTTAAGAATAAGGAAATGGAAATGAAGTAAGCCATTTCCCTAAGGTTCTAAAGCTAATAAAAAGCAAAGCCAAAATTATAAACCAGGCTAAGTTCAATATCCAAATTTCTGGCCATTAGAGTTACCTTCAATCACTTAAGGAACTTACATTTTCAGCAATACTACTTAAAACAGAAATAGTGAGTTACATTAATGCAACATACTCGAAAATCAGTCTCTTGATAACTATTGTCTAAATATTCTCACAAGTAACTAATTTGAATGGTTGCAAGTATGTTATTCCTTTGAATTATGAGTTTACAATAAAATTTCATTAAGACGTAAATAAATAGTATGGCAGCAAATATGCCAAAGAGTTTAAAAACCAAGTATTGACATTGAAAGACTAGTAAGGTCTGAACTGTCATTGTATTTTCAAGCGGGAAAAAAAGCTGTTTCTAAACTATCCTTGTAGAACACCTTAGAGCACTATCCACTTAGATAAGATCAACGTTCAGGGTAGTAATGCTGTCTGCAGAGTACCATCCACTTAGAACACTAAGTCCACCACACTGGATAAATAGGCAAATGATCTTTTCTCACACATTAAGTAAATATAAATAGCAAACAAATACATGCTAAAAAATTATATAAAAGCTTATTTAAAAAATATAAACTAAACAATTTTGGGTAAGGACTTAGGGCCATTTTGGAAAGCTAACTGGAAATGTGTATCAAGAACTGTTCAAAATTTCACATTCTTTGACCCAACAATTCCAAACGTGTCATTTTTGTGAAATAATCTTATGAAGGCAAAAACATATTCCCTTCCCAGCCCACAATGTATGGAGGGACACACAGATATTCGTTCAAGAATTATTAAAGACAATGGAAAACTATAAAAAACTTACATTTCCTATAACAGAGAAATGGTAAACTAAAGTACATCTATTCAATTTAATATTTAGTAGCTGTTAAAAATGACTAACTTGAAGAATGTAAAAAATTTAAAAAAAGTAAAAAATATATACAGAAAAGAAAATGGTGGTTTACATTACTAACGGTAATTTTTGTTTTTTTGTTCTACTTTCCAGTTTTTCTTTAATGTGCTTATTATATTTATAGTTTAAAATTAAAACAATAAGCTCAAGGGAGAAAAGGCTGTGCTACATTATTTTTAGTTGTAGTATTTCCACTTCACACACAAAAATCAAATCCTAAAAAGGTCATGGACTTATCAGAGAGCTTAAGTCAAAAACAGAAGCCACCTCTGTATTCTTAGTACACCCTGTTCTATTACAAACCTTTTCCATAACATGAATTAGCCCATTGGTAAGTAAAGGAATAATTTTAGTATAACGTTAAGTCATATTGGTTTATACTGATTTTTCTCAGCCTTTCTTTTTGTACTACCAAATAACAACAGCTGAACCTAAAATAGGCTAACACAGTGGAAAGCAGCAAGCTGCTGAAAAGACAGTATGGTACACAATTCTCATTCAGCCCATGTTCCTCCTCTTGGCACAGCTTGGCCACATGCTCTTTCTTGGAAGTACTTAATGAGCTCTTCTTTCCAAATCTTTACACATTTTACCCTGGCCTCCATAATCCTGTGGCTTCAACCCTTCCTTGCACACTGTTTATCTTTTTTGTAAAAATCCTAAACTGACCATATAATTTATTTGTGACAAATTTAATATATGTTTTAACATATTCTAGTATTCTCATTAAGATTTATTTTTGTTAGCATTCTGGTTACAAAGCTGCACATTTTGAGTGAGTTGGCCCATCAGCTGTGCACAATTTTAGTGTTTTCAGGAATATATAAATATGCAATATTACTACAAAAAGATCTGTATATTTCACAACAAAATCAAGAAAACTTTCAATTTTATTTATTTTAAAAATTCTAGTCGAATGAGAAATTGTATCTTAAAATGAACTGAAACCATTCACTAGCAGAGTATTAATAACTATTCACTAGCGGAGCATTAATAATATGCATGGTCAGTTTGCTTCATAAAGCAAAATGTATTAACAAATAAAAGGAAACTTGGGCTTGTGACATAATATTTCCCTTTGTTAATCCTTTGA